GGGCCCCGTGGGGCACCTAGCCCTCCACCACGCCCCGGCGGTGCCCCGCACCACGGCCAGCTTCATAGCGACTATTAGTGCTTATGGACCGTTTGGGCCCAGCACATTGTGAAGCATGCACGCACGGGCGCTTAAAACGAGTCCCGACGCACAGTTGGTTAATATTGCCTGAAATCATTTAACGGAACCTAGTCGTAGAACGTGATTTCAATTTTCTCTGACGGTGGTTTACCGTGTGTACGACCTGTAGTCACGTTGACGTGTTTTGGCGGGGGAAGATTTGAAACACAAGCCAGTCTACCGGAAGAGATACCACTGGCGTCCAGGAAGCGGGAGTGGATGACAAAAGAGAAAACGGCCGAATTACTAGAGATATGGCAGGGGCAAAAGAAAAAAAAGCGAGTAAAAAACATAAAATCGAAATCACGTTTTTAGAACTACGGGGTGCGCTAGCCCGCACGGGGGTGATTGTTTGCAAATTGTAAGAGTCGCGATAAAATGTGCTTCATCCGAAGAGCGCCGTGTGTGGGCGGTGCTGCCGTTTGTCACCAAAAACAAATACAAAGAAATATTTTTAAAAAAAGATTATGATATGGGAAGCACAATAGGCATGCTGCACACAGATGCCGCCCTCGGAAAAAGTTCTTTACACAATTAGCTTTATCAGTATTGACCTGACCAACCCAGCACTCCTATACATTGCACCACCCACACCTACATGTATTGTTTGCGCAGGGTTGATTCGCATAAACTCAAAAAAGAATCGCCGGTTATGCCTTTGATTGACCATATGTTTCGCTCCTATTCGTTGGCTCTGAAAAAAACAGGCGCAACTATCCCGCCAACGGATACAACTAGCACAGTTCCGGGACAAGCGTAACTGACAGCTCCGCGGAAAACTCGAGTAACGCCTGTTTTTTAGATAGGGAGTTACACGAGTTCTCCGAGCAGCTGCCAGTTACGCTTGTTTTCTGGAAATCTCTGACTTGCGCTTTTTTTTCGGAGCCGTCGTATTGTCGCGCTACTGATCCCGGAAATGGGTTAAGCGTCCATATGAGGTAGTTATTGTCTGGACCTCGTTCCTGCTTCTTCTCCGACTCGCGCCCGCCCAATTTCGAACACACGCTACTCAGCCTGGCCTGGCCGAGCTTAGCCGCCCGCTGGCGGTCCATTCGATTCGAAAGGTGAGAGACGCTGACTTGTACAAAGATTTATGAACGCAAAGTAGAAGTAGCTGCCCGGAGTCGGCAAGTCCAATTTATGAAGTCGTAGCTCAAAAGAACTCTCAATCGCACTGAGCCATTACACTTTTCATTGAGCATCTTCTGATTTTGATGCAGCCTTGCACGTCAAACAAAGGCTCAGGCATCCACGTTTGAAAAAGTGCACGCAGTCAAGAATGGTTTTACTTTGGCACGCGAGAGGGCGGCGCAGCGCACAGGCAAGCACACGTGTGGCCGCCGCCGCGAGATTGTAATGAAACGCCTGAGAAATGAGCGCCCACTCGGCCGTATTCAAATCGGGGCGCGCGCCCGGTGCTGCCCGCGTCAAACTAATTGTGGTTGACAGGGGATGGCTACCGTGCGGCATACCACTCCGGCCTTGCAGCTGATTGCTTTGGAAATTGGCCACGGGCGTTTTTAAATCGGGCCCGGCCATAGGAAGGAGGATGTCGAGTGTCCCCCTAAAAATAAATAAAGGAAGAAGCTGTTTCGAGCTGTCAATTTATATTTTTCACGTATTATTTTATATTTGTTTGTGTCGCTTATAGACGCTCCAGGTGATCTTCGGATGACATTCGCCATGCCATCGCAGCCCCGAAAGAAGCGTGAGGACGCCTCCGCAGGACATTACTCACAATATTCAATTACCGTTTTCACACCGACCAGCCCGGCTTGTGGGCAGTGCCCAGCTGAGCTATGATTTCGCCGTGAGCGCAACGGCAGTATATATATATGTAGAAAACTCATTGTAAACAGTCACATCCAGAAGCTAAGGGGTCGACTGCCACTAGACTGCAGTGAGTCGCCACGTTATCTTTGAGAGATCGGAGGTTTCATTAGCGATCCATCGCCACCTAGTCACACCTCTGCCCCGACTCCAGCGATGCGCCCTCTCGCTCTCGTTCCAATCTTCGCCCCAATAAGCTTCGTCGTATCGTAACTTTTTATTGGTTTCGCCGCGGTTTCGTTAATGTGCGTACGTGTAGGGCGAGTCCCAAATCATACGTGCCACTCCCACTTGGAATTTGGCAGAGACCGACATGACCATTACCATTACATTTCTGTTCACTGAAAACTCCGAAATAGCGCTGAACTGTTAGCTGCTTTTGGATAACGCGTGTGTCATCCTATGAGCATGAACAACCGCCATTACTGACACACTCAGATAATCATTTGATCTGCGCAACAAAAACGGAACCCAAGAAAATTTAACTTCTGCAAGACAAATTGTGGTCGCCCTGGCCTAACGATTTAGTCATGCTGATAAAGGTGTGATCGGCTTAGTAATATTTGTGTTTGCCTGATCATATTTTGTTTTGAATTCTTGAAGGAGTAAATATTGATTGATTCCAAACTTATTTGTTTGTAATGACAAAACGCTTTTCTCAGTGCATTAGTGCGATAAAAGCGGTCGTCATTTTGTTCAAATGACGGACATCATCGCAGAAGAAAGAGAATTGACATACGGAATTGACGGAGCTGTGTCCATTATACATGCCCATCTATCCAGACAGGACAACGCTGCACTATCCGAAAGCAATAGGCAAGCGGCGAGCGTCATTCGAGAGTTAACTGGAGTTTACACATTAAATCCAAAAAAACGGATGTCGCACACTTCTACAGGGGGCGAATTATAATTCGAAGAATCGTGGTCACAAGTGTGCGAAATTCGAAGCAGGAAAATTCACACCGATACTTGTACGAACCGTGCGAAATTGGAATTTACACACCTACAAGTACGCGACAGTCACACGCATGAGTTATCAGTTACCCACAGAGTTCTCAAAAACTCAGGAACACCGAGTTTACTGGGAGTAGTGCTATAAGGGACACGCCTTTAAACAAAATATTGAAGGAGAAACTGAAGAGTTATAGGGTCGGGAAGTAATACCGGGTGCTCGTGTAATTATCATGGTGTGATTGCGGCCGCGGGGAGTGATTTGAAACAAACGCATTACTTATGAATAATAGTAGCAGGGCCTGCTTACACTGTTTTGAAAGAGTTCCGCCAAACCCAAATGCATTCACGAAAAGCAGAGCGAATTGTTTGATGAAGATAAAACCGCGTACAAAATATTTGGCTGTACTAAAAATAAGAATATTAACTTGTTTGGAGTACAAGTGACTTCTAACAAATTCAATGTTCTAAAACTAGTCACTCTATACCTAAAACAAGTAAAATGTTCTTGAAATTTCTACTCCAGCTACCAATTACACAGGTTTCTGGATGTGAAGCGGGCCAGCTGATTTTTAGATACATGCACTGTCCACATTTTGAATCAATGACTGGATTGTGTGTTTCTTTACAATCAATACTGAAGTGTTTCTGTGGACGTGACCAGCAGGATCAGCCTAAACAGAAGCAGCTCCGGTCAACCGCTTTATGTTCACCGATCCAGGCTATTTCCTCTACTTTAACTGTCAGAAGTGGCCGCTACCGGCGTGCTGCCGAAACAAGCCCATTTGGAGGTAGGCATCAATCGGTATGCTAATTGTGGACCTTCGGACGTAATTGGAAAATGAAAGGGTTCCTTAAAGTTGAGCCGTGATTTTCGGATGGCTCCTGTGCTCGGTGTTGTACAAGAACAAGACCAGACCAAACCGGAACAGGGCTCTAAATGCAGGTGAGCCGAAGCACTGCGCAGTGAATCACATGGTCAAGGTGCACTGCACTGAATCGAGCTGGGGCTAAGGGCGGCACAATCCATTGATTCTGCCGAAAATATTTTCATTTGCTCTGCTGATACATTTAAAAAGCATTTATTTTTGACTTCGTGTTTATTTGTTTGACTTAATCGTCAAACGCGTGTTCAACATTACTTGTAGAACGAGAACAGCAGAAAGTGAAGGCACGTGCTGAGTTCGAGGCTAGAACGCTAAAAACATGCGAAGCAAGAGGGCGACCAGCAGCGATAATCTTTAAGAGTTTCCTAAACGAGGAAGCATAGAGAGGTGAGGTGGTCCACCGCGACGGCGTGGTCCAGAAGCTCGGACAAATTATTCAAATTTGACAGGTGTGGCTCCAGGGCCCGTTCATAGCACCATTTACATAAACAGGCGCTCTCCTTTGGCGTTTTGGTCTATTTTCGGGTGTCGTCTAATGTGCCCCGTAAGAAAACTCCCCTGTTTCCCAATGGAATGGACCAGACCAGACCCTCAAAAAATGCCTATATCGACGACCTAGAGATTTTTCCTTCCCGTTTTCACTTTGTCTATCCTAAACCACTGTAAAAGACTGTTAGATTCAATAGTAAAAATGTGCTTAGTTCAATTAAGACTTAACCAGGACTTAAATTCACCTGATGGAAAGTGAACGATTCCTTCTCCTTCCCGCTATGGCAAAAATATTTCTGAACGAGAACATTTTTCTTTTTTTCGAATGTATGCCTGTAAGTATACTCAAGCTTACAGTCTAGTCCGTTTAACCAATTTTCTTGCCAGCGCAGCTCCTGTTGTGTTTCGGGGCCGCGTGGATAACGGCTACCGGCGGCGTGATGGGCCTCCCCGGCGGGGCCCCACCGCGCCCAGCGCCGCCACGCCGCGCCTTGCGCCGCCCGATCAATATATTTATGGCATAAAAAGTGGCCGCCCGCTTGTCTGGCTCATGTGACTACCGTTTAAAAGCGAGCGAGCGAAGCCAGTTCGGAGCGCGCCGTGTGAGTCATCGGCGCCCGCGGCGCTGGAGGGTCCATCTGCATAACGCATGTCCTCTCAGTCGCTCTCTCTC